TCTATGGGCATCTGGTATAGAACAGGAAGAGACCTTCCATCAGGATGATAGTTAAGAATCTTCAGACATGTAAGTAACTTCTGAACTATTTCCTACATTCGTAAGGAGGAAGGCATACAAAAATTGAGCCAAAATGGCTTTTTTTCTATCCCTTATGAACAGCCACTGTAAATGAGTGATTAATTTGCCAGGCAGGCTGTTTCACCAACAACAGTGAGTGAGTGGAAATGCCCAAAGGAGAACAAATTAAGGGATTTGTAGACAAATATTTAAAAAGCATTCAAATTAATATTCCACTTAGCTAGTGCCCCTCTCCAGCTTCAGCACCAGTAGCACAATATCCAGCAACTATTTAATTGGGTGTGGGGATGAGGGAGGGAGACAAATTGTCTGCTCTTGAGGGAATGAATGTGAAGCTTAAAAATAAAAAAGACCAAGAAAAGAAGAGGTACGTTTCAGATTGCAAAATACTTAAAATAAGAATTAAAGGCTGGTGTTTCTGATTGTTGAATTACAGCACAAGACAGAGTAGCCTCCCTGTTCTTAGCAACTTCTTGCATATGTGGTTAAAGGAATAATCCATAGGCAACCTCTTGCTCTAGTGCAGTAGAGCAGTGGACTAGGACCAAGGTTCAAATCCCCCCTCAGTCATAACATGGCCTTGGGCCACTCAGTCTCTCAGCCTAACATACCTCTCAGAGTTGTTGCAAAGATAAAATGGAGAAGAAGAGAACTAGGTACACCATCTTGAGCTCCTTGGAGCAAGGGTGAGGTACAAACATAATCATACATGTATAACCCCATTGCTCCAGTATCACAGTGCCAAAGCACTTACCGGTAAGTCTCAAGCGAACAATCAATCACAGTCTTTAGAAGGGATAGAAAATGACACAGGTCTAGGGGAAAGAAGCTGTGTTGCTATTCAACTAATGAAGGAGCGTCTCCACCCCCATCATTCTACCCGGACACTAAGGTCCAGCACCGAGGGCCTTCTGGCGGTTCCCTCACTGCGAGAAGCCAAGTTACAGGAAATCAGGCAGAGGGCCTTCTTGGTGGTGGCGCCCGCCCTGTGGAACACCCTCTGTGGCATTTGCCCTCCTAGGTGTGTGACATCATACTGGGTTCATAAGGAAAGGGTTAACTAATTGTAAAATGACTAACCAATGGGAACCCAAGGGCCGGAGTTAAGAGTTGAAGTTAGGGTGGTTGAGAAGACAGTCTGGAGTTAGAAGAGACAGAGAGGATAAGTCTGTGGGTTGGGCTAGTCTGGTATGAGAGAGTGAGAGAATTTGTTAAGAGGAGTCAGTCAAACAGTTGAGATAATCATCAGAAAGTATTAGGAAGGTATAGGCCAGTAAAAAAACTAAAGTTAAGATACTGACAGGAATATTATCTGAGAAACCATAAACTTGTTAATGTTTATATCTAAAAGAAACTTGTTTATTTGGTTCACTTTTAACAACTGTCTGGACTCAGTGTTTTACCCGAGAGTAATGGGTTGGTGGCAGCGGGGAAACGAGCACAGTAGTGGCACAGAGATCAATAGACCGTCAAACGTCCAGGGACCCTGTGTGATCGTCACACCCACCCACCAGATGTCAAAGAGAACAACAACTACCAGACTTTTAGAAGACATCTGAAGGCAGCCCTGTTTAGGGAAGCTCTTAATGTTTGATGCATTACTGTATTTTAATATTTTGTTGGAAGCCGCCCAGAGTGGCTGGGGAAGCCCAGCCAGATGGGTGGGTTATAAATAAATCATCATCATCATCATCATCATCACAGGCACGATCATGCAGCAGGCATCCTGTGACATTAACACCACAAACATTTCACCAGCAGTAATCCACTGCACCTGGCTTTCAAGGTTTTTGTTGAATATTGCTCAGAAGAAATGTCAAGACCCGATGGCCCTTGATTCAACAGGACAGAACCCCTTAAGCAAATGGTCAAATGTGTTGCTGAATCAGTTCAGAACTGCTTTCCTGACCAAGGGCTGCTACGCATTACAGTGTTACAGCTAGAAAACTAATGTTTTTATAACCGCCACTTGGGGTTAAGCCCCTGCTTCTGGCTGTGTACGTGGAATTGACCCTGCAGTTTGTGAAGCAGCCTTTGGGGATACTTCTAAAATGTTTAAATGGGAACTGAAGTGTGGCAGTAAAGTGTGGCAGATCTCACCAAGATATTTTCCCACAGAGCAGGGATGAGCCATCCCATTTTGCTGCCTGAGGTGAACTCCCCCCCCCCCAGCTGATGTACTGCTTGCTGCCGCTGTACAACCCTAACAATGGCCGGGGCAAGCAGGGTTCGTGAGCGGATAGCTCCCCATGGGATTCTGCCACCTGAGGCGGCAGCTTCCCTCTGCCTCATGGGTGGGCCGCCCTGCCAGAGATATTTATAAGGGGAGAAAGAACCCCGGAGAAAGAAAGCTAGAAGCATCAATCTCTAAATACACATCTATAAAGAAGATTGGAAAATAATTGTCCATTGACTTGTCAAGGCTGTGTGAACTCCTCAGTGCCTCTGCACTCCATGCGGAAGGTGAGAGTACCCATCTGCCAAGAAACTTACGACTTTCAGTTCCTCAACAGTATTTCATACATTTCACGTTGAACCTAAAAGCTAAAAGGCAAAGGGGTCAATCCACGATTCACCGTGTTAAAGATGATTTGCCGACCCTTGCTTCCAGTGATGATTGGGTCATCCGTCAAACACTTTTATACGCTAGCAAGGTATTGCACAAACAGTGAATCTATCTAATCCTAAGATTTGCAGCTAAAGCATATAAGTGCTTTGGATGAAGTGTCTCAAATGTAGCACCTGCGCAATGTCATTAAAGCACAGGCGCCACATCAGAGCTAGCAAAGCATTGCAGTACGCATACTACTGCAAATGTGGTGAACTGAGGAGTTCCAAAGAGTCACTCTTTCACCCTCTTCCTGTTAATTAATTTAGATTTTTAGGTTGCTTCATCCCAAGGCTTTGCAGTACTAACACTGATTTAACATTTCACTCACGCCTTTTCAAGCAATCGCAAACCTTGGTAGTTCATTAATGCGGGGAAATGATATCAATCCTGTTCCATACACTACAAGAGAGTGGGAAGTGGAGCATTAATCATCACCATATCATTATTTTATTAAAAAGAATAATTGTATGGAGTGCCAACTGTAGATATTTAGTGGTTGCTAAAAGGTTAATACAGAAATCCCTGGTGTTTATTTAAAGGAACAATGTCAAGTAACAGAGGCTCACTGGATAAAATGTATATGGGTATCTGTGTTGCTTTATTACTGACTATTCTTACTCAAGAAAAAGAATAGCATGCATCATAAATACACAAATAAAGCTATTCTTCTGCACAACTACAAATCATAGAATATGCTGCACTGAGCTTGCTTACATGTTGTGTTATGCATAGAAGAAGCAATATAAGATTATAATCTTTAAATACTAGACTCTCTTTAGCTGATGTTTAACTGGAAGTTAAATTCTGTTCTTAGATGAATAGCTTTGCAGTTCAGGAGGGCCCATGTAGAAGCTTAAGAGAGTCCTAAATAGGACTGATTTTGAAAGTCCTTCTCTCATCGCTGCATACCCTCCAACATTTCTCCAATGAAAATAGGTACGTCCCATTCCATAATGATAATTTTACTATTTATACCCCACACATCTTACTGGGTTGCCCCAGCCACTCTGGACAGCTTCTAACATATAAAAACATAATAAAACATAAAACATTTTTTTAAAAAGCTTCCCTATACAGGATATCCTTCAGACAGCTCAGGGATTGGATAACTCCATACCCTCCAACTTTTCTCCATTGAAAATAGGGGAGAGTGGGACATTCCGGGATCAACTCAGAAACCGGGACGGCTTTTCTAAATCAGGGACGTCCCTGGAAAATAGGGACACTTTGAGGGTCTGCCACTGTATCACTGGGCTGATGCAACTCTGACTCCTTGCTAACTACAATGAACAAATCAGGAGTCAGTTTCAGGAGTATGTGCCCCATTCAGTACCAATCCTTTAGTATGCTGAAGTAAACTATGGCAACAATTAGCCCTTTTTATCAGTGGACTGGTTCGCAGAAACTATGGCCTATTGGGACTCTGCAAACATGTCCACTCTGGTCCTTCCTGCTCCCAAACTGTCCTGGGTTAAGCTAAAGTTTAGCTTAGTGTGTCATCCAGACCCAGGATTGTGGTTAAGCTCTGTCTTCCTCAAGCATGAGCTGTAGCCAAGGTTCGTTCTCATAGCTCAGTCTCTTAACTTGTACACTACACCAGCTCTGATCCATGCACGGAGCTCCCATGTGAGCAGGGAGCTTCCTGTTCACCTTGCTGGGTATCAGCTCCATAGGTACATCCACACTGGACATGCTGAGCCAAAATAAATGTGAAATTTTGGGTTGCATTGGGAGCTCTGTGTATGCAGCCAAGATCCAGCTAAGGTTTGGATCAGGCTGTAAATCTGAAATCCAGTAGATTAAAGTCAATGGAATGTTCAACAGAAAATTGCTATTCCGATTTAACAATATGACTTTTTGTGCCCTGTTCCAACTCTTATTTAAGACCAATCATAGTAGCGTGGCAAGACGGAATTCCTCAATTTTGGAATTATGAGAACTGCTTAGTTTCCTGGTCACACATTTTTTGAAAACTGCACATCCTATCTTTCCAACGCCCGTAAATACTAAATAGCATTGTGGTATTAAAACAATTGTTATCTCTCTCCTGCCAGAGAGGATATCATTGTCACACAAAAATTTGGGTCAAAATTACACATGGGAAAAGATAAAAGAATAGTTGCTTAGCTCAGCTAACCCAGGGCCAAACTGCACTAGGGGAGGATAAAGAAATCGCACAGTAAATATAGACACTAGTAATATTTTAAAACAATAGACTGCAAATTGTATAATTTAAAAATTAAAGGGAACCTATCTTTGTGTAATGAAAAACTGATAAATGACTCCAAGGAGACTTAATCCCACCTACCCTCATTATTGTCCTCCAGGTCCTCAGATTGCTTTGCTTTGCATTTCACGGGTGAAGGAGACTGGCCTTTCTGCTCCACTCCCTCTGGAAGAACAAAGAATTCATAAATAGAGGGGATTTTTGAGTTAGCATTTAAAAAAATTAAATATGAACGTGCAAGATATTGGAAGAATAAACAGATATTATCTCTGTGCTGCTTTCAGAAGGAAAGAGTGGTGCTTTTAAGCACCGTGAAGATGCCTTTCTGACTCACATGCCATCATCATGGCTCTGAGGGACTTTAGGCTGGGCTCAAAACTCCTTATTTCAAAAGCCACAAGCCCTCACATGTAAATCATCACATTCTCCTGTAGTATCACAATAATATCACTTGAGTGAACAGAGTTTCAAAACCCCTGGAGCTTTACAGACAAGGAACAGTGACCTCAGCTTGTGAGCTTAGACAGCAATCACATGCACACTCACATGGGAGTAAGCCCCATTGAAAACAATGGGACTTATTTCTGAGTAGACACATTTAGAATTGCACTATGAGTTGAGGAATGGAGGTAGAAGTATTGGCATCAACAGTGAAGTGGCTCAGTAGCAAACTTAGCATCCAACCATACCCATTCTTAAGAAAATAATGCTAATGAGTAAAGAAACGCTGAATTCATTTAACTAGCTGAATATCAGAAACTAATAATCTTTGGCAGGTTCAAAGTCCCCTTTAAATCAGATGAATCAGTAAGAATTATGTGCAAGCTGCACTGGGAGTTGGAGTCAACGTTCCTAAGTCTCAAGTATATTGATCTTAGTATATTAAATGTTTTATTCTTGGGCCAACAGACTCCAGAGGTGGGAGCAGGCAAAGGAGCCTAGAGTCCCTCCTAAGACTGACCAAGGGACACTGAGTTGGTTCTATAATTTTGATTAGATCAATTGCCACTTATTGGGATTTCTTTATTTTTTCAAATCCAAGTGTAAATATAATTGCAATAAACTAATATCACAATAGTGGGACGCGGGTGGCGCTGTGGGTAAAAGCCTCAGCGCCTAGGGCTTGCCGATCGAAAGGTCGGCGGTTCGAATCCCCGTGGCGGGGTGCGCTCCCGTTGTTCGGTCCCAGCGCCTGCCAACCTAGCAGTTTGAAAGCACCTCCGGGTGCAAGTAGATAAATAGGGACCGCTTACTAGCGGGAAGGTAAACGGTGTTTCCGTGTGCGGCTCTGGCTCGCCAGAGCAGCGATGTCACGCTGGCCACGTGACCCGGAAGTGTCTGCGGACAGTGCTGGCTCCCGGCCTATAGAGTGAGATGGGCACACAACCCTAGAGTCTGTCAAGACTGGCCCGTACGGGCAGGGGTACCTTTACCTTTACCTTTAATATCACAATACTGAATTAATTTCAACACATTCAATAGGAGTCCTCCACTTAAAAGCTTTCTGGTGACTCTCTTTGCGAGCCACTTGAGATATACAGTGGTACCTCAGGTTACAGACGCTAACGCAGAAATAGTACCTCAGGTTAAGAACTTTGCTTCAGGATGAGAACAGAAATCGCGCGGCAGCAGGAGGCCACATTAGCTAAAGTGGTGCTTCAGGTTAAGAACAGTTTCAGGTTAAGAACGGACCTCTGGAATGAATTAAGTTCTTAACCCAAGGTAAAGGTAAAGGTACCCCTGACCATTAGGTCCAGTCGTGACTGACTCTGGGCTTGCAGCGCTCATCTCGCTTTATTGGCCAAAGGAGCCGGCATACAGCTTCCAGGTCATGTGGCCAGCATGACTAAGCCACTTCTGGCGAACCAGAGCAGCGCACGGAAACACCGTTTACCTTCCCGCCGGAGCGGTACCTACTTATCTACTTGCACTTTGACGTGCTTTTGAACTGCTAGGTTGGCAGGAGCAGGGACTGAGCAATGGGAGCTCACCCCTTTGCGGGGATTCGAACCGCCGACCTTCTTATCAGCAAGTCCTAGGCTCTGTGGTTTAACCCACAGCGCCCGAGGTACCACTGTATATTTTATATGGGTAGCTATCTGCATTTAAAACAACAACTGCAGCAACCAGCATATTCTAATGTATAATTAAAATATGCGTAACAACAGAAATGTTAAAAAAAATTGCTAGCATATATCGTAGGAATAAATTCAGGCCAGATGTACAGTGATCTTTAGATGCAGTCATGCATTTGTAGATGGAACTGCTATTTTGCCAGGCTTTAGCAGAAGGGGAGATGCGAAGCAGCGCTTCTCCATTGGCTTTGCTGAGAGAACAGCTCCACCAGGCTCCTTCCCTCCCTGCACTATTTCCACTCCACCTGGTCATTATAAGGACTGTTGTGCAATCTTAAGAACTGATGCCCGAGGTTCCTTTATTTCCTCCCACTCCTTTTTCCTTTTGTGTTGGGTCTTTCGGATTGTAAGCCTGCGGGCAGGGGTTGTATTGTTTTTATTGATCTTATGTAAGCCATTCTGCGAGCCTTTGATGTTAAAGAGCAAGGGGGGCATGCTTTAAATAAAGAAATAAACAGTGTTAGTAACCTAAGTGAATTTATATATGGTTTCTTTCTCCCTTCCTTTTTTAAAAATTGCCCAATAAGTTTTAAGAAAGCCACGAAAATCAAAAGATAAGATTGCTCTAATGCACCATTAAATCACACATTTTAGAGCTGGAAAAGATTTGTGACATCCACAAACCTTTTCTTCTGCCAATGCGGCATGAAAATACACAGACAGAAGACATATCTGATACCGTACAACTAAGGTCCATAGAAAGCTTTAACTACATCTGCCCCTTTGATTCAAGCCAGACCAGCAACATGCTGCATGAAATATGATCGCATTGGAGAGCTTTTAACTGAACATCACAATATGCTAGCAGCTGCGAGAAAAGAAAGGACATTTGTTTGGGGGGAGGGGAGTAAACTAAATATTAAAGAGGTGAAATTCTGATCCATTTAAATCTATGAGAGATTTGCCATTGATTTCAACAGGAGTTGGACTCTGCTGAAGGTTAAAATATACTGTCTCAGCGCGCGTGCGCACACACAGAGAGATATAAGCTTTTTTGTGCATTATTTTGTATCTGAAATAAGAAAGCCAATGCGCAAGCATTAAGTGTGATTTTTGTGAATACTGTTATTCATTTTCCCCTGCCTCTAACTAATTCCTAATGAGTCTTCATACTCAAAAGAGCATTAGTGGTGGCTCTATATATATAAAAAAGGATTATATTATGAGCATAAACACCCTGCTGTTCATTTGGGGGGGGGGAGCCTCACAGTGACCCACAGGAGCAAAGTTTGCAAAGGTAATAACATATGCACCTTCCTGGGTGGCAGAGAAATGTAAAACAGAGAATGCATTTATCTCAGTATGCTATGCATTTGGTCATCTGTTATTTTTTCATCAGAGCCCTTTTGTAGCCGTTTCGAAGACCTGATGGAAATGCAGTGATATTCCCCCTCTCCCAATGGCTTCAGATGAGGCTGATTTCAGGCCCTTATGTGCCGATCTGCAGTTCCTCTGAATTAGGATGAAATCAGTTTGAAAGGCACTTGTGAGGGAAAAAATAGGTTACAAATGTATAATTATGGAGCACTTAATTTTTTTTTGGGGGGGGAGCTGATATTAGAGAAAGTTGAGTATGGATAGCATGCAGGCAGTGGCAATAATTCATAAAGATGGTCCACAACTAAGAGTTCCATCTGCTAGAGTCATGACCTACAGATGAAATGAACTGGAAGTCCATTAATGATAGGAAATGGCTAATTGCAGTCGCAACCTCAAATATCTATTACTCACTATGAATCCTTTCAAATATGGAAAGAAAAGATACTCTTCAAATGAAAGACTGGCTTGATTCAAAGAATAACTCAGCTGGGCTGAATATGTGAATGTCTAAGAGACTTTTGCAAATGTATCCTTGCTAGTTTAGCGATATTAAGCCTAGGCACTAATTAGGACGGTGTGGAATAAACGCTCTTCTGTTATAGGGCATATGAAGATCATGTTAACTGTAGCAATGCAGTGATTAACAGTGTATCAAATGGCGACTGCCCCAAAGAGAATTAATTTCCAATATTGCTTTCGGGACCCCTTCCCATTTGCCAGAGATGCACTAATTTCACCTACGGTATCTTGCTGCATTTTGTTGTATTTTTGTTGTTGTTTTGTAGTTTTTATTGAGTGAGCCGCCCAGAGAAAAAATTGTGATACATGGCAGCCTGAAAATAATGTGTACACACACACACACACACACACACACACACACCACACACACTGGCCTGAACAAATGCAAGGTAATGGATTTCAGAGCAATAGCCTATTTCAGAAAGGGCATGTTGTGGGTCTGCAATGAAGTCCACGCAACTGCCAAGGCTTCATAATGGGGAGTAAGGAAAGGGAATGTAGAAGGAATACTGAAAAGAAAAGATTTGCACATTGGCTGTGATTTTAAAAGGCTGAACCAGAATTGGATTTTAAGAGAGTATCTGGGTGCAAAAATATTTAAAAGTCATTTCAACCCTGTTCATCCAAATGCCTTTCAAAAGCATTTCCTCTGCTATGGAAACTTCCCAATCGCTGGTTTTTCATTTTGCTTTGTTTTGGGTCATCCTATCCTAAAGCGGGGTGCATGCTAAAAAGAAAAGGGAGGCTACTCAAACTAGATAATAAAGTCTCTAGAGAGACTAGTTGTGCCTCAGCGCTGCAGTGCTTCTTCCAAACGCCCTGGAGAGAAGATGGGAAGACCAACAGCATCACTGGGCCAGTTCTTGGTGCCACCACCAGGAGGTGCCAGAACTCAAAACATGGCTATTCCTTTCTTCCCATTTAGGTGCCCAGGTGCTCATTTAACCCCCTTCCTAAGTTCACATTGAAAAAAAGATCACCCCCTCTCTGTCCAACAGGTGCACTTTGTCTGGTCTGTACAGCTCCAGCTTAGAGAGCCTGATGGCTCTGTGAGTGATGACATGCCTGCAGCGAGCCCCGACTCATGTCTAACAGAAGGAGAGCAGATGTAGAGACAAACATTCCACTCTAATGGGCTAATTTTGCATGGACTTGTAGCACAGTCTAATTGGAATTAGCGTCCTTTCAAAG